CTGCAGGAACATTTTTTAACATTCTATGTGGGTCGTATTTTTTTCGGGGGAATATCCAGACTGGCGGCAGAGTTGTACCGTTTGCTGCAATGATTCCAACTTGTGTTACTAACTCGCCCCTCTCCCGAGAGGTAACTTGACCCACTTGGTGCTGCCCTTTTGTCGCAATTATCTTTTGTACTTTCTGGACTGTAGGTAACACCAGTTTCATCCAAATTATAAATATCAGATGCCAAAAACTGGTGTCGTTTTAAAACAGATTCTAATTTGTTCTGAAAGTCATCTACAGTGGTTGGATTGAAGCTTGATATTCTAGCTAAACTGGTTGCTTCCGGCGTTCTTAAAGATAAATTAGGCTGGCGGGATAAAAAGCCAGTAAACCAATCTCGTCCAGCCTGATGATTTTTTTCCCATGCAGGTGGGGTTTTGACTTTATTTTTTTAGCAAACTCGTAAGCTAACCGTCTCGTAGATTTAGGCGTTAAGCCATGGTACATGTTTGAGCAATTTCCAAGGTAATTAGCCGTTGCGGATTCTAACTCATCTGAAAACACTTGTGTTGTTACATATTGTGAAGAAAATTTTACATTTTCTATTCCGCTTTCCCTGCTTTTCTTAACATAAACTGCTAAAGTTGATTTTCGAACATTATGTTGAATTGCACTCTGTCTTACAGACAGTCGTCCCAACAAAACATCTTCTGTGGCATTTTTCATATTTTCCACAGGAAAAGATCTGTCTGTCACCCTTCGGTACTTCCTAGGCATGTTTCTGAAAAATAACACATAGCCATTGATAGAAGTGGTTCCCTCTGGACACATACGGGACGGTCTGGACAACTGTCCTGACCCTCCCTCAAGAACACATTGACAAAAAATTATTTGTATTACAAAATGTTTATTAAATCAAATATGAACAATATATCAATATGACCTATAGACTTACCTTAAGGTGTGGCCACAAAATAAATAATTAATAACAAGCTGGAATCAAAATATCCTTTATATTCTTGCACACAAATAATAGGTCCCAACACTCCCAAATCAAAAAATGTTTATTAAAGTCAAACGCGAAATGTGATTCGTAAGGCGTCTAGTCGAGTACTAACTCGACTAAAAATCAAATGTTTTGACGCTACACAGATAATGCACGTGTATTATGACCAGGAAATTTTGAAGTGTCCATACCCTCCCGTCGTCCAGACCCTCACCGCGCTCCCCTATTAAAAGTAATTTTAAAAAACCGACTTTAAAATCGTGCAGATGCCATCACCACATCTTAACCAAATTTATATATGGGACCACCCATGAGGTATCCCCTTACAAACAAAAAAAATAGAATCATAGAAATCGGACAAGGTGGTAAAGAATTATCGCTAAACATACATAAAAAATTGGGAGTTTGAGGATTTTCTCATGGACCTAATTATTAGATGTTGATCAAATATAGGGCCACCTCTGAAGTACCCCCCTTTCCAGCAAAAAAAGAATCCTTGAAATCGGACACCGTGTTAAAGAATTATCGCTGAACATTAATAAACTGTATTAATTGTATTAACTAAAAACTACTATATGGCATTATATACATTTTTTTAAATTCATTTTATATGTAAAAATGTGGGTTCGGTTTCTAGAAGAGTACCTAGTTCACTGTACATCCAAATTTATATTTATAATACAGAATTTTTTAAATAAATAAAGTTGTAGGTTTACTTAAACATCAAGTTTTATCAGGAATGACATTTTCTGATAAAAGTAACAAGAAAAAGTCTTCCATATAAAAAGCAGACTGTTTGCGAGCCACTATAAATATATATTTTAGAGGGCAATCCATATTATATTAGAAAAATAAGTAAAATTTTTGTATAATCACAAAAATGTGATTTATCTTTTAGAATATTATATATGTTTATTAAAGTTTACTATTTTTATAAAAAAAGAATTATATTCTTCAAAATATTTCTTAAATTTTTTAACAGGTACAAAATACCTTAATCCGTTTATAGTTATCGATTTTAAACAAGATTAAAAAACGTTTTTCTCTTTCCATTTTCTAAAAAGAAACCAATAGAACTTTTTGAAATCGGTTTTCGATGAATTTTCTTCTGATTTATTGCCTTGAAAATGATATGATTTACATAAAAAACAAAAAACTGACCTATTATTTTTTTTGAAATAAAAATATGTTGTTATTTTCATAATTTTCGACCGTTCTCTGTTTCCAAACAAGAAACACGATGTTGTCAAGCAAGTTCTGCTGTAGATATTAACACATTCTGTAATTGGCTGTTTAAATTTTTTTATATTTTCATAATTTGGGAAACTGTATAACATTGAAACTCCTATACCCGAAAAATTGTGAGTAAGCTCTTAATTGTCTGTTTTTTATCTCACAATGTCGGGTATAAGAAGTTATATAGAAAAAGTTAGTATTCAATATCATCTAGACAAAAAACAAAAACATTTGTTTTTCCTAAAGGTAATTATATCCATTTGCCACAGATAAAAACAAAAACATGTTTAAATGAATATATTAAATAAATTATGACCATTCTTTAACAGAGATATATTTATTTGTAGGTATTATGAAAATAATGTTTATGTCAACAAACTTATATTCGATATTTGTATCAATTTGTAAAGATAACTCTTGTTTAATGATAATATTAATATTTAAAGGTTTTAAATAAGAACTTGAAGATATCACAGTTCGAAATTCCTTTTATTGTCAATAATACTTTTTTTTTGAATGGAAGCATTAGTTCCCGTTTTTCAGTTAAGCTCCTTAAATCAATTCATATTTTAAACTAAACGCTATTTAAGCGCAATAAAAATGCAACAATTAAAAAATATAGTGAACTTTTCGAAAATTTCTAAGTTAAAATGAAAATCAATTTATATTTAAAATTAAATAGGTTTGCTAAAATTTTTGACCGTAGGCTTTAGCAATAAATAAAAGATTTTAGATGTTTTACAAATTTCTCCAAATTTTAAAGCAATGACTCGTTTTCGTCTTTTATTGTGCCAAAATGCACAATCGTTTTTTTCTCATCTATAGACATTGGCTTATATTTTAGAAAATCTTCTCTTGCAACGCGCCCCAAAGAGTGCGACAGATCAAAGCCACGTGCGAAAAAAGAAAAATTATTTACATTACTTTAACGGATTGAAGAGTTGTTAACATGCTGGAATTAATATTATTGTTAACTCGAAGAGGTATTCATTAAAAAAAAAAAACCGTGCGATATAAAAGTTAAACAAAAACAAATTTTTATAATTCACATCTCAGTGTATACCTTTTAATTTCGGATAATTTTTTTAATAAATAAATGGTAAAATTATTTTAACGTAATTGAGCGAAATTACTGTATGTATGCAAAAAATAACAAAATGAATTCAAATCACTAAATAGTAGAAAAAGATATATATTTTGTTGGTGTTACCCTCTAGACGAAAAAGTTTTCGATGTATTTCTATTTTTATTGTAAGAAAAATAAATGCTCCTGTAGGCAAAAATTAAATATATTGTTCCCTTCTAGCATTTTTTAACATTTCTATTTCTTTTCTTAGATTTTTTCGGAAGAGACTGATTCAAATTTTTAAAGTGACTCCAGAGATCATCAGGAATCATTCTCGTGGCCCCCCTGTAAAAAAATGTGAAATAATACATAAAATAATATCCCTTGTCCAAAGATATGCCTTTGAGCCGATTTTGATAACAATTCATAAATATACAGTGAGATTATAAAAAAAAAACGAAAAAAAAAATTCAACTTTAACGCCCTGTATCTTATTCCACAGCCATATTTTATTAAGGTATATTTGGTCCTATCGCCATATTTTGATCTAAATAACCTGCCCTTAATCTATATCCCAATAGTTATGAATCACCCTGTATATTCTATAGACTGTGCTTTGGCGCACGAGTGTGCCAATATGAAGACTAGATAGTCTTCATATGTGCCAATAATGTCGAATTTTGACAAATCGCGGAAACAATTAACTTTGCAGTTAGATTTGAATGCGTACTTACCCACTTTGCATAGAGACTGTAGAGAAAATAATTTTTGGACAAAAACAATAAAACTTCTTTATAAAACCTCTCTTAAGCTTCTTTAATTTGCTTTCTTTATTCTTTAAAAATACATAAACCGTATGTGTAAAAAACACAATGCATAATGGAAAATAATGTTAAATAGATACATAGAAAATTCGATATAAGAAATAAATAATGTTTTATTTGATTGCACCAAAGAACTTTTTTATTCAAATGTGTCATAGAAAACAATCGAAAATAAGAATGTTTCTCTACAAGGTGTCCGGAAATAACGCTCGAATAATTTTGGATGATTCTACATAAGAAAACATCAACTTTTTTTCGTATAAACGTGAGTCCGGAATTGCATAGTTTTCAAAATGCAGGTACATCCCAGTTTTTGATAGAATTTGTTGCCCAAAGATATGCAATAATTTGGTTTGTATTTATTTATTTCTTTTTTACTAAAACGATGCACAAAAATGTTGTGTTTTTATTTGTTTAATACTAAAAAATAAATTGAAAATTCAGAGGAGCCCATTTTTTTGGTCAATAATATTCGGTAAGGTGTCTCCCGAAAGGTCACTAGACTTCACAATTTGATTCTAGTTGATGCTAAATTAGTTCCTTATTACTACAAACAACACTGCCAAATTCCAACGAAATCGGCCAAAGAATATTTAAGATATTTATAAAAAACCGATAAAAAGTTTGGCACACTGTATTTTGAAAACTATGGCATTTCCGGACCCACGTTTATATGAAAAAATTATCATGTGTTTTAATGGAATTATTAGAACGGTATTTCCGGACACCGTGTATACTTCAAATGAATTGCAGCAAAACACTTTTACGACCCAGTCCGAAAAAGTTAGGCGGGTCTGTTTTGTATTTTTTTTATATTTTACCTCTCTGAAAAACTACTAGGTATTTACATTCAAGACAACTTTATTGTATGCCAGTTACTCAAATGCTTTCCTAATACGTCCGAAGAATACTTTGAAGAAATTTCATAGTATACTGTTTCCCCTCCCGCAAGAAGCGCCCCCCATTGTCCGAAAGTTCCATAATCTATAATAGAATGATTGCAAGACGCCATTATGGCTACATCCAATTCTGGCGAGTTTTTGGTACCTCTTCCAGTAACATAAACGTTTTTCTTAGCACCAAATTCGCGAAAACACCAGTTCGGATCATCACTTACAAAAATAAAAATCGTTTTAGGATATTTATTTTCAAAATACGACATAGCAGATTTAAAAAAATTAGTCACTTGCGGTACAACATTAAATTTTATTTTTAAATGTGCTATATAATCCGTTCTTCTTGCATGTACTCCGACGAAGGTATGAAATGTCGAATTTAAATATTTTACACCTTCGTGTAATTTCTTTTGACTTTGAACTAACAACTTTTGTTTAATGCTAAATACTTGTTTTATATAATTTATTCGGTGTGCCAATAATTCGGGCTTAGATATATGCATTGGTAAAATGATGTTTTGATTTTTTGATGTTCCGTTAATAGCACAATGATATATATCTCGAATAACTGGTAAATTTAAATTGTCAAATAAAGTGCTGAGTCTTGATTTGATACAGCTGGGCACATAGGGTTCCATGCTGGTTTCTTCTGCTACCAACAATACTGATATATACGCCCAAATGTGATTTCCGAGACGACCTCCTTCTTTAACAGTGACTATGCCTGAATTTGGACAATTTCGTTTTTTAGAAAGTTGTTGTGTTTTTGGAATGGATAGGCACAGCGATTGTTCCTTTTCGAAATTGTTATACGTCTTTGGGGCGACATTTACTTCATTTTGATATAGAGACAGAGAAGTATACTGCATAAAGAAGATGATCAGGACTATTAAAATAGTCAATTTTAGCAGAAATAGAGAGAGATTCTGTAATCTTTGAATACGCATTGTACTATTTGTTCATAATAATATTTAACCTAATGTTATGTATTCAGTTGTTTTCTAGGTTATCCTATAAAACTGACCATTTCCAGCGAATTCAATAGGTGTTCGGTTTTAAATTTATCTGAAAAATAAATAACTTTAATAAATATATCATCAATCACAAATGACATCAGAATTTAATTAATTCTTTGAACGATTATTTGGTTATGTCAAGAATGATTTTCTTATTAATAATTAATAAATTCCTTGAAAATCTCCAAACATCCCAATGTTATCCCTATGAAATAATGAAAATTATTTTAAATCCCGGAGATAAAAACAATATTAACAAAAAATTAAAAAAAAAATCTGTCCACGAGAAATTCGAACACCTACTATCCGTGTTCTGCACACACCGATCTTACCAACTGAGCTATCAGGACATGGTCACTGACTTCCCAATTATTAGGATGAAGATTTCGAATACAACCTCGTTTCCAGAAAATTTTCAAGTTTTTAACAAACTACTGAATATCGTCGTGTGGGAAAAACATACGTCGGCATGACGTCACTTCCACAGGTCGTGATGTATTAAGTTTTCAATATACGTTACAACGTAAACAAAGCTAGTAAGAAAATCTGTTTTAAAAGTTCCGGAAACTTCTCATTTAATGATTCGAAACATAGGATGACAAATTTCTTGGAAATCTCCAAACTAATCCCATTATTAACCCTACGAAACAATGAAAATTATTTTAAAACAAACCCCCAAGGTGAAAACAAAAAAAAACAAAAATTCTGCCCATTTAAGGATTCTAACCCGCGAAAATAAACAACCAAAAAAAACCAGGAAAAAATTGACAGGTAATACCAAAAGTAAATAACAAAGACACCCTGTAATTTAAAAAAAAAGAAACATTTTTCCATTACTCGGGCCATGCTATCTACTCCTCTCCCTAAAATAAAATTCGTATGATACATGAAGCTTTTATCAAAAAAATATGTCAAGGAGATTGTTATTGACAATGTCTCCCTAACTGTTTTATAACTATTAAACTATTTTATAACTGTTTTATAACTGTTTTATAACTGTTTTATAACTGTTTTATAACTGTTTTATAACTGTTTTATAACTGTTTTATAACTGTTTTATAACTGTTTTATAACTGTTTTATAACTGTTTTATAACTGTTTTATAACTGTTTTATAACTGTTTTATAACTGTTTTATAACTGTTTTATAACTGTTTTATAACTGTTTTATAACTGTTTTATAACTGTTTTATAACTGTTTTATAACTGTTTTATAACTGTTTTATAACTGTTTTATAACTGTTTTATAACTGTTTTATAACTGTTTTATAACTGTTTTATAACTGTTTTATAACTGTTTTATAACTGTGTGAATAATCGTTATTTTCGCTGTGATTGTGGGACAGTGCAGTTAATAAGTGTCTTGCGTTGCGTTTGTGGTGTTTGGGTGCAATATAAAACAATGGGATCCTACGAAAAGGAACAATCAAAGCTGCAGAGCCTTTGGGAAGATGTGTGAATACGATCCATTTGCGAATAAGTCAGAAGGGGATCCTGAATATGAGGTGGAAAGTTCCAGCAGCGGAAGTAGTACTGCTATTCCAGTTAAGCGAGCCAGGAAAATTATTAGTAAAGGTAAAGATCGATTTATAAACTTGCCGTTCGCGGTGTCGTTTGCGGTGGCCGGTTACGTTTGCATTCGTATTAATTAAGCCGCTCATCGGTTGCCGTCGGATTTGTGACACTCATAGGTTATATTTTACTTATTTTTGTAAATAATTTTTAGATGATTCGCTTCCATCAGGGTCTCAGTCTGAAGTAGAAAGTGAAAATTAGTCTGACGATGAGGGCGAGAATGTTCCGATAAAAGACTGGGGAATAGTGGTTGGCAATACGCGAAAATTTGCTTCTCAAGGAGATGTAGGCCTGACACAAGAAGTTAAAAATTTAAAAAATCAAGATGAATTTGCTTACTTTCGACTTTTCGTAGATGACGAACTTATATAATCGAATTAAATTACGGGTTTTGAGCTTTCATTAAATTGTAATTAGATGAAACAAAATGGATTCTATGTATTTTGAGGTGATATTTTCGAAAAAATTTTAGATTTTGTCAATTTTTCAATTTTGCGCAGGCGCATGTCGGAAATAAATCAATATTTTTAAAACGCAGTTTACGACATTTGAAAGCTTAAGAAAAATGCTAATTTTTATGTTTCTTGAGAAATTTTGATCCGATGCACCGTTCTCGCGGTATGGACGATTGAAATAATTTGTTTAGTATTTTGAGGCGACGAAGGTCGAAAAATTGAATTTGTTAAATGTTCAAACACTAAATTTTTCATAACATTGGTAAAAATTAAGATATTTGAAAATACAAAAATGCGTTTTGAACTTAAGGGATGTGACTAGTGATTTCCAGAAGGGGGCAAGAGAAATCCCAAATTTGGGCATATGGCGGAAGGGCAAAATGTACCGCGGTCCTAATTTCATTGTTTGCCTATAACGGCCAAACTATTTGAATTTTTTTAATGCCACTTACAAAGCTTACTCTTAAATGTGAAATCTTATGTGTGTGTAAATTTCACCTACATCGGACTATAATTGGCTAAGATATAAAACAAATAATTTTTTTTCCTTAAAAAAAAATAATTTTTTTTTCTAAAGTTTGAAGTGGCACAAAAATGCCAAAAATGCACCCAATGGATCAAAAAATTTTTTTTTGAGTACTCTATTGTGTCTAGAATACGATTACATTACGGAAAATTCTGCAAATATATTTTACCTATTTTTTTGACCACTGTTCATTGAGTGACGACCAAAAAACACGGTTTTTGAGAAAAGTTGCCTAAAATTGACAATTTTTAGTTTTTTGGTCTGAAAATTAAGCAAACCCAAATTTCATGTCTTCTAAATGTGTATGTTTCTTCTAAGTTGTAGAATTCTCCCGACAAAAGTCCCATTACACGCGCTCCGCGGGATCCAAAACTCGTGTATACACTACATTACTGTAATTTGATTTTTTGCGATTTCCAGTTTTAAATTTCTTACAAATCTAAATTTATTAGGCTTAAAATTTATTAAATTGTATTTTACTGACTTGTTATAAGACGTTTTTTGAGTTTTGTTCAAAATATAGAATTTCCGCCAAATTAGCCGCACGTCGCATCAAGGATAGTAATGGTCTCGGCGTTCGCTATCTGACAAGTTTAAACTTCAAACGGTCATATTTTTACAAATTGAATCGCTTGATATTGTTCACCGGCATAGATTTTTAATAACCGTGTTTAGCAAGCTCTGTGTACACGTGGCTTTTCTAACTTCTTCAGCAATTTATTGATTAAGTACGTTCCTAAATTAAGAAAATTCTATCACAGTGCTATAATTTTTTGTTTCCAGGTTGCAATGGCTGGCCTGTGTTTATTATGTCATCAGACACTTGCAGAGGGTGAACTATTGCAGATTTTCAATGCATTCGAAATATAACCGAAAACTACGCATTTTTTGTGCTTAGAAAATCGCTCGTAAAACGAGTGGTTTTTTCTTGAATCCAACATTTTCCATTTTTTTTTTTGAGAAAAAATAAGCACACTGTCGGTTTTTTTCCGTAATTTGGGCACTTTACAGACTGAAAATATATTAGAATCAGTAAGTTTAATGAGAAACAAGCTTACTTTCTCTCCCAATTGCCAGAATATTCGAGTAGCTTCAATTCTCGCGAGAATTACCGATCTTTGCACACGTGTGCTCAGAAAACAGTGGATGTTAGAAAAAATGTATATGCCACAGTTTTTCGTGTCTTTTTTTTCTTTATCATCTGATGGAAACAGTTTTCTATTCAGATAATTAATTTTCGAGTTAATTAAGAAAAAAGTACGAGAAATTAAGAAAAAATGGTTTTGCAATTTTTTTCAAAAAGTTCGGAACGTAACTAGAAAATACATATTTTTGTCATGCATATATATCTTCTCCCATTTCAAGTTTTCTTGTAAATAACTAAAAACCAGATATTAGAGAACAAAAAGCAAGCTTATCACCAAGTTGCAAGTTACACTCAGGCTTAGGATTAATTGCTTTTTTCGATGGCGAAGTTAGATTTTTCAAATATATTATTTTTGTTAGATGTTTTCGGAAAACTCGGCAAAAATCATATTGGAAAAAAATTAAAAAAAAACTGCGCCTCCGGTTTCCTGCGAATTCCCGAAAAATTATGGCAGATTTCGCCGCGGGACTTATTTTATTTGAGAGCCAACAAAAAAATATGCAACTTCTCTCATGGGCACATATGTCTAACATTTATAATTTCGCCACAAATTCATCGCAAATTTCATGTCCATGGTTCTGGTCAAAAAAACGAAAAAACGACTTTTTGGTAAAAGCACTTCTGGCGGCTAAAAATTCGCTATTTTTGCCTCCTCTTTCTGATGGTGCATTTATTTTCACTATCGGAATGATACTTGCCCAGATAATTAGCATTTTTACAATGGAAAATTCCGAAAACCCGGTTTTTCCTAATTTAAAAAAAATTGAAAAACTGCTACATCTTTTTTTTCTTTTTTTCGGAAAGATCACATCAAAATACACAAGGTACTTTTTGTTTCATCCAATTACAAATTAATGTAAGCTCGAAGGGGCTTTTTTTCGTTATTTAATTGGACTATATAGACATGATCGTCGAACAAACCAACAAATACGCAGATCAGACTATTGTGCAAGGTATTACTGAATCAACAATTGGTCCATGTTCACGTCTAAAGAAATGGAGAGCTACTGACGCAGCATAAATGTACTGTTTTTTGGGAATATTGATATGGGTGGGTTTGGATAAAAAACCGAGACTGGCTGCCTATTGGCGAAATTAGGATTTATATTGGTCAAAAGCAGCTGGATACATGTCCCGAAATAGATTTGAAATTTTATTACGTATGTGGCACTTCGCAGACAATGATTTATGTCAAACTGGAGATCGACTTCACAAAATTAATCCTTTGG